CGCGGCAACCGCGCGTTATCGATTTTCCGCCGCAGCTGGTAGTGCGGTCTCTCTCTACCGGCCGCGCCTCCCCTGTCGCCTCTGTTACACCCCCCCCCTCCTTTCGGAGAGCGGAATTTCCGGATTCCCGCTCTTCGAAATTCTATCTACTTAAGACTTACGGTTTGACAATTGGCGTTTCGACCAATGTCTCACCGTCCCGGTCGTCGGATCGAGACGGAGCGCGTACTTGATTTTCCCGATCCGGGTGCGCCAGCGCTTAACGCCGATGGGCACCCGGATCAGGCATCCGTCGACCAGGACGTCTCGCTCCTCTCGCGGCGTTGTCGGCCTTATATAGAAGGGGTCGCGGGGCATCCGTGGCAACGTCCTATCCTCGCCGGGGGTGGCAGGGGCCAATGCAGCCTGCGGGACGGCCGCGACGACCGGCTTCTCGCTGGCTGGCGCGAGGGATGGAGCGGTCGGAGCGGTGGTGCCGGTGATCCCCTTCTCCGGTGGAACAGCCGGGGCAGCGGCCCCGGCCGCGGAAACGGCGGAGCCTTTCTCCGCCCCCGTAGCCCTCACCAGCCGGAATGTATGCGGCGGAAAAACCTCATACATCCGTATGGTGGGTCCGGTGGCTCGGGTGGAGGAGGAAACGATGGAGCTCGGTGGCACGTTCTCCTCGTCGCTCAGGTTGATGACCGGAAGGCTCTCCGGTGGCCGGCGTGGTCCCGCCAACCCGCGTCGGATCATCCCGGGATTGTTGCGGATACGGCGCGTGATGGCTTTTCGCCAAAATTTCCCGGCGTCGACTTTCCTGGGCCCGGAGCCCGGTGGTCTGCTCGGCGTGATCCCGACTAGAGGGGACCTGGCGGGCGGCACAACTTTCCGCGGGAGCGTCGGCGTTCGCGCGGTTGGGTCCATCGCCACGGAGGTTCGGAGCTCAACTGATTTTCCGCGTCCGGCTCGCGAAAATTTATATCGGAAGCGCGTGGGTGGAGGGGAGAGGCAGAGCGGTTAACGGTCGGTGAATTCGGCGAATTACAGGTTCCGGAAGTAATTCGGGGAAGTACAGGCTTCGGAAGTAGTTCGGAGAAATACAGGTGCCGGAGATAGTTCGGAGAAGTACAGGCTCCGGAAGTAGTTTAAGCGAAGTACAGGCCCCTTATTGACTTATCGCTTTCAGGTCGCGTATGTGTACGCGTGACACGGCTTTTTTGCCATCGGTGGTTTTTAACTCGAATATCACAGGCGATCGCACCCGGTGAATGACATACGGCCCCTCGTATTTTGCTGCAAGCTTTGTTTTTAAAATCGTCCGCTTTGCTGGAAAGTTCATGCGTCCGTTTCAATACTTCTTCCCCAACTCGGGGCTTCCAATCTCGGCGCCGGAGATTATAGTGGTGCTGTTGCCGCTGGAAACTCTGCGCCAATTTAACTCTTGCGAGTTCTAATGCTTCATGCATTTGTTTGATTCGTGTCTCGGGATCCTCCTGCTCCATGTTTTCAGTTTTTTGCCCTATGCTTCCGGACGGTCGTAATTCTCGGCCGTAGTTTAAATAGGCCGGTGTGTAGCCCGTCGACTCGCAATGTGCGGTGTTATATGCATACGCCAATTCTGGGATAAATCGATCCCACTTTTTCTGTGATTTCTCTATAGTTTGAGAAATCATGGTTTTTATTACTTTGTTTGCTCTCTCCACAGGATTGCATTGAGGAGCATAAGGCGGCGTTAAACGGTGCGTTATTTTGTATTTTTCTAGGACGGTTTTTACATCGGTTGAAATGAATTGCCTGCCGTTATCTGTAATTAGTTTTTGCGGACAACCATGGCGCAGGAGGATTTTTTCTCGGAGAGCTTTTGCAACTGCGCTTCCCGTGGCTTTCCTTAGCGGTAACTCAATCCACTTAGTCAATTTATCCTGAAAGACCAGGAGCCAGGTATTTAAATTCTCGGATCTCAGAAGAGAGCGGCCCGACTAAGTCGGCGGCCACTATTTCCCACGGTTGCTTTACGTCAAGCGCGTTCAATTTTCCGGGCGGTTTTCGTTGGTCCCGTTTTGAATTTACGGCAGCTGTCACAATTGCGCACGTACTGTGCGGCCTCCCGGAACATTCCAGGCCAATAATAATTCTTTGCCAGGCGTACGATGGTCTTCGCCACGCCTAAGTGCCCCGCCGTCGGATCGTCGTGATATTGATGTAAAACTTCGGCTTTCCGGTCGCCGGAAATGCAATTTTTCCACTGCTGTGCTTCGGGAGTGTCGTTGTAATCGAGCGTATGTAGAATGTGCCGATGGAGCTGGCCATTCTCAATACGGTAGTCAGGATTTAACTCAGGATGCTCCTCCTTCTTGGTACTTTCGGCTGTACCAGTCGGATGTCGGAACTCCCGCTGCACAGATTTCGAGCGGCTGTCTGGATAGCGTGTCGGCGAGCAGATTATCGGAGCCTCTTCGGTACTGAATCTCGAAGTCGTATTGCCCTAACTCGAGCGCCCAACGAGCCAGTCGTCCCGTAGGACTCTCTATTTAACCATTTTAACGAATGGTGGTCCGTCAGGACGACGAAGTGATACCCTTCCAAATAATCGCGGAATTTCCAGATGCCCCACTTGATTGCAAGGCATTCTAGTTCGGTTGCCGAGTAATTCTTCTCGGAACTGGTGAGTGTCCGGCTGGCATATTCGATCACCCTTTCGGATCCGCGTATCTGCTGGGTAAGTGTTGCGCCTAGCCCTTCTTGGCTGGTATCGGTCTGGAGGACGAATGTCTGGCTCCAATCTGGACAGGATAATATTGGAGCATTCGTCAGTAGCTTCTTCACTTCGTCAAACGCTGCTTGTTGCGTTTCGGACCATTCCCACTTTGCTCGTTTACGCAGGAGGCGGTGTAACGGGGCAGCGACACTGGACACGTCTTTCAGGAAACGTCGGTACCACGATATTAATCCCATGAAGCGCTGGATCTCCTTAACGTTTCTGGGCGGCGTGAGATTTAGTACGGCGGCGGTTTTGTCTGGATCGGCATGCAAGCCGTTATGATCGACGACGTGTCCGAGGTATTTTAATTTCGATCGTGCGAATTGGCACTTCTCCGGATTCGGCTTGAGTTTGGCGTTCCTTAGTCGCTCAAAGACAATTTCCAAAGTTTCGAGGTGCTCGTCAAACGTCTTTGAGATTATGACGGTGTCATCTAAGTATGCGAAGGCGTTTGGGAACAGTTCCGGCGTAATCACCTGGTCCAGTAACCGCTGGAATGTAGCAGGTGCGGAATGTAAGCCGAAAGGCATTACGTTAAACTCAAATAAACCTTTCCCCGCAACTGTAAACGCGGTTAAAGGTTTACTTTCTGGTGTCAGGAGTACTTGCCAATACCCGTTCTTTAAATCGATTGTCGACAAGTATTTTGCCCCTCTTAACTTATCCAATGTCGCGTTGATTTGCGGCAATGGGTAAGCGTCCTTCCGGGTGACTTTATTCAATTTTCTGTAGTCTATACACAGACGCGGTCTGCCGTCTTTTTTCTGAACGACAACGATAGGAGAGCTCCAGGGACTGGTCGACGATCTTATCACTCCTTCCTTAAGCATCTTCTCAACTTCTTCCTCAATAATCTTTTGCATTGCCGGGTTTCGCGGCCTATATCACTGTTTGATAGGCGATGGATCTTCCAACTTAATCTCGTGTTGGATGAGGGGAGTGCTCCCCTGAATGTCCCCGAACCTCTTCATTTCGTTTTTCAGGAAGGCATCGAGTCTGGTTTTCTCGACCTTTCTTAGGTGCGTGAGCCCGCCTGGATTCTCCACGAAGCTGATGCCCGTTTTCCCTCCTGCGTTATGGATCCCTTGTCCAGTAAGGCAGATTTTAATTCCGAGTTTGTTTAGGGCATCCATGCCCAGCAGGATATCGTGGCTTAAGTTCTTCATTATTAGGAGCGTCTGCTCCGTGGAAATGCCCATTGCACTGCAATTCCCTGTTAATCTGGTTTTCAGGGCGGTTTCGGTACCGTCGGCCAGGACTGCAACTCGGTGATCCTTCTGCTGGCGCCATCCGGCTTGGCGGCAGATTTCGGCCGTCTCTTCGCTGCAGTATGAATTTACCGGTATCAATGAGCGCTGTGCATCTGTCTTTGCCAATCTTTACCGTTAAGAACGGTCGATTCTCCCCGGTCGTTATTAGTTTTGCGTGGGCCGGTCCTGACTTCCCTCGTCGCCGGCCCCCTTGGCGTTTCCCGGCTTCTGGCACTGGCATTCCTTCGTCAGTTTACCGTCGGTGCCACAATAGGAGCAGAATTTCTTCACTGGATTCTGGCATCGGAACCGATTGTGGCCTCTTTGTTTGCACCTCCAACAGCAAGTGTTTCGGTCGTATGCTGTGGCTAATGATGTTCGCGGCTGAGGTACATTCTTCCGAATTTCCGGTTTGCCTCTGGGCTTTTCGTTTTCGAGCTGTTTCTTTGTCTCTTCCAGCTCTTCGACTTTCTGGATCAGTTCGGTCACGGTTCGCACGGTTGATCTAGGGATATACATACGGTATTCCACTCGCACATTATAATAAATTATGTCGAGCTGCTGGTCAGGAGTATAATCCCCCCGGCGGCGAATGAGAGTCATGATAGCAGTCATGAAGGCCCGAATTTTCTCGTTTACGCCCTGCTTACGGTCGTTAATTTGCCGGTCTAAGTGGCGTAACTCGCCTGGAGACAAATAGAAATCTCGCAGGCCGGCTTTTAGTTCTTTGAGCGTGGGGTAGTCCGTCTGAAAGTTCCGGAACCACAACTGTGCTTCGCCACGAAGCAGTTCTGGGAATCCTTTTAACAATTGTTCGTCCGTTAATGCATAGGCACGTTGCAGTTCCTCTAACCTTTCCAGGAAGGTGTATAGGTCACGCCCGTCAAAATGACAGTTCCACTTCCTCATTTGTTCGAGGATCTTTGTCTCGTTCGTTCTGGTTTCACTATTCGCTGGGGTGGAATGTCGTATCTGTCTGAGTTGGTCTAACTCGACTTGCAGCCTCTGCGCATGCCTGAGTTGGTCTAGTTCGGCTTGCATTCTCTCCATATCGCGGGTTCGGTCATCTTCCTCGTTATAACCAGGGTTATCCTCTGGTTTATCCTGGTATTCTTCCGGGTGCGATCGTATGTAAGCCACCAATATTTGTCGCAATGTGGCCAAATGCCCCTCGGAATCCACTTCCTTCTCGATTAACTCGAGCTGTACCCTGTCCTTTGACAGGGCGTATATCCAGGACACTCGCGGAGCGGTCGCCATTATGCTTATCGGGGAAGGATTCTATTCGCGGTTTCCTAGACGGTATTCTCCCACGGATCTACGAACCCTACCTAGCGGTAAAAGACTTGTTCTCCTTTCAAGCGATCAATTTCCACCGTATTGAAACTTTATAAATTTTCACACAGCAGGTCCCTGTTCGGGCGCCATGTAACGGTAGCGCTCAACTTTTCCCGGTTCTGGTTTCCGGACAGGACTCCGGCGGTTATTATTTATTACGCGAATAAATACGGGAGTTAGTCGGACGCGCGGTTCCGACTAACGGTTGGAAGAGTTGGCGTACTCGCGGTCGGTGTTGACGTGCTGTGTGGCGGCAGGATAAATCCTCCGTTCCTCCTATTTGCCGAATATGCTCAGCTCCAGGGCCGTCGGGAGGAAAGGAGGAAAAGATCTTAGTTCGCTCAGTGAGGTAATCGCTTGGAAGGATCGGAAATAAATCGGACTGGTATTTTTAAGGTTAAAAACCGATAGGAACGAGATTTATTCATAGATAAATACAATGGAATCGAGGTAATTACAATGGGTCCGCCCTGTTAGGAAATACAACGGAAAGAAAAGGATTAGTAGGTACAATGGGTCCGCCCTGTGATTAAATACAAGAAAAAAACAGGATAAGATTTGACAGATTATCACGATGTACAGGAAGTACGTACCGAATCGGTAAACAGGAATATATT